CTTAGCGAAACACGTGAAAAGAAAATCTTTTGGTTGTGAGCCCGGCCCGGTATATCCTCCCGACCGCAGCTCAGCGAGGTTCCGTTAGGCGCGAGGCGACAGCGCGTCTCCGCCTCTCTTCAGAGCCGCGCAAAGCGGACTTCTCCGTTTCTTGAGGCGCGGACCTCGCCGCGACCAACAAAGCGGCCACGATTCGTGGCGGCAGCGGCGGTGGTGCTGGAGGCGGCGATGGCGGCGGCGGTGGCGGGGCCCGCGTGGGCTGCGGAGGCGGATATTCGATCCGCGGCGCGCGCTCTCCCTCTCTTCTGTCTTCGTCCCTTTTGCCGTGCCCTCGTCGCTGCCGTTCCGCCGACGCCGCCTTTGCCCCTCAACATTTCGTCTCCGCCTTCCGTGGCCTCCGTTTCCACCGACATCGGTTTGAAGCGCGCTCACCGCACACGTTGCCGACTGCCGCGAAGGAAAAAAGGTGGGCGACTGGAAGAAAGAGAAAAAAAATCTCGCGAGGTGTTCACTCGTGTGTTTCCGGTGCGAGGAAGATGACAAAGTTTCTTTCAAAGTGAAAAGTTCACTGGGAGGAGATCTTAAGAATAAACGAGATTATCAATTCGAAAATTCGTCTTCCAGGTCTTTGACCTTTAAGATTTTATTCGTTCTTATTGTGAAAATGTTTTTACATTTTTTCTTGTTAACTTGTAAGAATGATCAAACTACATAATACTGTTCATCGAGAGATTAGTAAATGTATTTATTGTACAATCTTCATATATTTCATTTTTCGTTTTACATATTTGACACATAGAGTATACTGTATGCAGGGACTTACTGTAGGTCTATACACAAAGCACAATTACCCATCTCCAGAAAAAAACTGTTTTAAATTTGTTCAAAGACACATGTTTTTATATAATTTAATATTAATTTATAATTATTGAGTATGCCAAAAATATTATACAAATGATTTGTACATCTTTCTCTCGATTCTGGTTGTACCCGTATCTGTAATTGAAGAAATAGCTCTTAAAAATAATGTACTTGCTGGGAATTTTTTGACGTTCGTTTTAAAAATAATCTTATTATGTCATCAGAGGTTTGAGAAATCTCTTCGCATTTGTAAGTCCTCCAGGGAAAACGTGCTTTTCTTAAGCCAACGAGACTGAGCTTCGTAGTGGGGATTGTGTCACTCCATCGCCGAGAGTGTTAATTGAGCTTTCACTCGATGGAGCAGCGGGTAAACACAGCTCCCCCTCTCTCTCTCTCCGTCTTTCGCACATCGCGTCGACTTCCTCCGCTCGGCTCTTCGCCCGCGGGGTCGTCCTTCCCTTCCGCCTGGGAGGCGGCCTGCGCGGCGTGGAGCGGGCATCAAGAAGAGAGGGCCTTGCATGCTAATGGCAGGGCGGCGGGCAGCGGGTGGCGCTGAGAGGCCCAAACGGCAGGGCCTAGCAGGTAGGCCGAGGACGACTTCCTTCGGAGGTAGTTATTTAGTGTCAGTGGAAGGAGGACGGGGCTCCAACACTCCGCTGGCAGGTAGGTGCTGTGGTCGTGACGTTCAGAGGGATCCGCGATTTCTAATTTTAAAACAAACATGATTCAGGTAGTCAAGCCCATCTTAAAGAATGTACAAATATTTTATCAGTAGCGATGCAATTTGTGTTGTATTTATTTTGAAAACCTCACGAGTCTCTAAAAATATAGGAATATGCAGATGACAACTTCACGCCTATAACTTAACCAATTAATTTGTATTTTAATACGACGCAATTAAATATTTATTGATTTTGATAACTTGAACAAGCATTATCTGACATTGTCTCCGTAACTTAATATAGTACAAAAGTCAATAGTTCGTAATATAGTCTACGGTGGAATACAGATAATTGAATATTTGTTGTCCTTAATGCTGAAAATGTGATATTGTAGTTTAAGACAGATCATTTAAGATATCTTAAAAAGTATCAATTGGATGTTTGGATGTTAAAAATACTTCATTTTTCGAACAGTATTTTGAATCAAATCTTTTACCCTATGGCTTTGAAAATACTTAGTTGGTTTCTGGTCAATTAACATAACTAACTCAGGATCACAACACAAAAGCAAACAAAGGCAACGAATACATCATAAATAAAGTAAAAATTTATATTCGAATGTGCTGAAAGGAACGTTTATTCTACATTGGAACTCTTATTCTATGTATATTGTGTGGGAAATATATTAATATCGACGTAGATTTTAACCGCTCTATCTATTCATTACGAACTTTTATGCAGAACAATGCACCAATAACGAATATACCACACTGATTGTCCAAATGAAAAGTGAATAATTACAAACGCAATTCTCGTGAAAATTAAATGAAAAATCTAAAAGCTGTACATGGTTTCTGGGTAAACTGGACTGTGAAATCAAGCAGCAACGCACATTATTCACAGAAAGAATATTCTGTATTTTTAAATACTCTATGCTATTATGCCAGTCGTAAATTAATTGTATTTCAATGTGATATAAATTATTTTTTGATAAATTACTTGCAGGTTTTATAACGAAGTGATTCAAGAGATTGAACGAGGTAACGGTTCAAACAAAGTGTACCTCAGTCATTATTTCGCGGCCTCGGAATAACAAAGTTGTATCTGATTAAGCGAACAAAATACAGGAGAACATTTTATTCACAGAATATTTGAAAATTGTTTTAATATGATGTAGATCTGGGCTAAGAGAGTTCTAACACGTCATAAACATAATTTTGCCGAAAATGTCACAATCGTCTTAATCTGAGCCAGGATCATAAATGCCAGATACTTTGCTTTGAAGGAATTTGATTTCAAACTGAAAATTCTTTCACGATTCTTTGTTGATGTAAATGTGTCTCGACTTCTTCGTACCCAAGAACGTAGGCGGTAATCGTCCTTCCCTAAGCTTCAGTGATGACATAGTGCGTTTAACAGAGCAGTGACAACAGCCGAGCAACTACATCCGAGAGGCACGAGAGGCAGGTGCGTAATCAGAGGGCAGCTCCAGAGAAGGGACGTGAAACGTGAATAGTTCGAAACTAACATTACATATTCGATTTTTTATTAGAATGGCCGTACAGTAGCACGATTAATCAAGCAGCGAATCCTGAGATCCACCAGAAACGTGTCTTCTTAGGAACTGTAAACTTGTTCTCATAGGAAGAAAATAATTGGCTGTATCTGTTCGTCACACAGAAGTGAGCTCTTTTCCGTAACATTTCTTCGTCTGTGAATTAAATATTCTTTAGTTGCAAATTGAAACCATATTCGCGCATCGTTGCACTGAATTTGACAAGTATATATTCGAACAGAAACTATATTTTATAATTTATTATTTAATTGTAAAAAAAATGTCATTTCTGGAGTAGCCCGCTCATGGACTAACGGCACTTAGGAATGAAGCTCCGCAATTGTACTCGGCTGCGCGCGGGCGGGCGCCGGGCGCTAGGAAGGCGGGGGCGGCGGACGCGGCGGGGTCGAGGGCGCGGGAAAAGGTGTGCATAATGTATGCTCCTCGGCGATGACTATCTGCGGACGGCCGACGCGCTCCTGACAGATATATGACGACGTAGAAAGCTGCAGCGTTTCCTGAATGCATATTTCAGAGGGGGCGTGACATTTTCGCAGCTGGCGTGCGGAGAGGGGAGGAGAGGGGAGGGACGCGCGCGGTGTGCGGAGTGGGGAGTTGGGGGGGGGCGGAGGAAGAGGCGAAGGGGAGCGGGCGTTGACGGCACTCGGGGGTGGTAGTGGAGGCGTGGGGCGAGGGCGCTCCAGCGGTAGTCGTGAATCGTCGCTCGCCGTCGAGAGCTTAATTGAATGGGGGCGCAACTCGTAGGAAAAAGACCGCATGCTACTGACAGTGAATTTGCACGCTTGAATCGACGTTGGTGCCACCTATGATTAGTCCTTTGTTACGTAGGCAAATGAAGTTACATCGAAAATGCTCGGCCGTCTCATATCCTTTAGGCACTTGTCCACACAGAAGACTTTACAGTTTCGTAGAGCGATTGACGCTACGGTAGTACTTGCCAATCGTTTTGTCTACGGATGAAGGTATGAAAAGAGTCTCATTATTTTTAGATCATTAGTTCTAGACTGGGTTTTCTGAGACAATCGGAGATTAATCCCTCTACATTAATAAATATGAGCATCGTGCTGGTAGAGTGCGAGGGGAACCGCTTTTCAACTCGTTAAATTAGTTTGCCACAACTAAAATAATTTCCTTTAATACGTTATACATAACCACAGTTTCTATCATATTCAACAATATTACACTCATTTTCATAATAACAACAACCTTTCACAATTTGATTAAATAACTTTTTTCTGCTATTGTCTCGATATTTTAATTCAGCGGACACTCATGATGAATAGTGGAACTGTGGTCCAATTATTTTACTCAGTAAATATTATGATCACAAACTCCTTGAAAACATTTAGACCAACAGAATATGAAAATAAGTTATTATTTCCCCTTTTGAAATCTTTACCCTCTCCAAGGGGAACATTCTTGTTTCAACAAAATTCAAGAATTTGAAGAGAAATACTCCATTTCTAATAAATTTCTTTGAATTATAAAAATTAAATTTTTCACGTAAATGTTATTGAACACCTTGTTATAGCCTATTCCTGGACCTTGCGTTAGTGTTTGTAATGATGCTTTATGATTTTAGAATATGTAATCGGTGTAGTATGGTTATGATTGTTGTTGTCAGCATTCTTTGTTGGTATACTCTGTCATTCTTCCTTTCCGTGCTCTCGTGATTATCGCGTTATTGTGATCGTTCAGCCATATTTACTTTTCAAATCATATGACAGGTTACATATCACAGGTTAATATTTAATTCATGTTTATTCCTTACGTTCGAAGTCTGACTTGGACAATGTCTCAAGAACATCCAGATCATCTTCAATTTTACTCTTTTTGCTGTAATAATTTAGCCCAATTTCGCTCCAAAAACCCTAATATTTGTGTTTTTTTTCTGTTCACAGTTTGCAAGAGTTGCATCATCAAGTACTTAGAAAACAACAGTTTTTGTCCCGTTTGTGAAGTCCAGATTCATAAAGCTCAGCCACAAAAATGCCTCCGGTGAGTACACTGTAAAATTAGTTTGACCCGTGCAAGCCCAATAAAAGTGTGTGTGACTTCTATAATGTCCCGGAAGAAAAACTGTGAGCACTTGCAACCCACACCTCTCTCCAACCAGAGCGGACTAGTATTGATTCGACGAGAGGTGATTTCCTAGAAGGCTTTGCGCACTTTGCCTTTTTCCACTTCCGGGAAAGATACGCGAACTGCGAGTTCAATCACTCCTAGTATGCGCATTCCAGATTCTCTTCATTTATTAACTGAAGCAAAGTGCAGTTCCACGTTCGAAAATCAATGCTCTGGAAATGTGACGCTGACGACAATCTAGGGTTATTTTACTAATTTCTTTTATTAGGCATTGCGTGAATTGTAGTAAGAATTCCAAAAAAACAATTCTGGTGGAATTGATTTTCCAAAGCCAATACTTTTATTATTGTGAGTTAGGTGTCAATAATTTTTAAAATAAAATTATCGTAAACATTTCATTGATAGTTTTCATCATAGTTTTTAATTAACGCTCCTTGGAGCAACAAGTGGAAGATAACTTACTTTTCGGCCACTTATTATATTAGCTAATCGTGAATGCAGGTATACTCTCACTCAGCAGGTCTACGCTCGGTGTGGGAGTGGGGAATTACATAGTAAAACATTTGCATTTTCCAGTCACAATTGATACTCTATCATTATTTTTGTATTTTTCCCGAGTACCTGGATACCTAATGAAACCATAGATAACTTTCACACAGTCGGAAGATGCAGTTTTCTTTTAATTTCTGCTGGCATTGGAAATTGGTAATATAGATTCTGCCATTTTTTGACATTAATATTAAAATCAACAAGCTACCTAAATGTGTTTTCTTAAACGATTGCATTATTATTATTATTATTATTATTTATATTAAATATGAATCTTTACAAATGTTTTACGACTTTTTTTTTTAATTTGCAGGCAAGACAAGACTTTACAAAACATTGTATTCAAACTAGTACCAGCCTTGTATCAAGACGAAATGGAGAGGCGTCGCAATTTTTACAAGCAACACCCTGAGTATGGTAAGTAAAAACGTTTTGCATGCTTTAATTATTTTAGTATATGAAGCAGCTTATTTGTTTATTAGGAGCAATTTTAATAATAGTAATCCGGGCAAATAGTTTATTAGTTATAAATTGTTCAGAAAGGTGGAGTCGCATTTGTGCTTGAAGTACGGATCTTTAAACGTTTTGGAGTAAACCTTTCATATCACTTGAAACAAAATATCCTAAGAGGAATGTAAGGTCTTGCATAATGTTTCTTGGAAAGGCTACCCGTCATTGCACAGTTCCTTTATCGCAGACGTTCGGAGCGTTTTCAGGATCACGTAACACGCTGCTGTTGTGAATCTTTCTGGGAGATGACGGAAAATCTATAGAAACACAGATAATAATCCAACAACTTATGTTGAGTATCGAGGGTAATAATGCTACTTCGGCGAAGGAATTGGTAAATTCAGATTGACTTATTTGTGAATATTAAGTAGAAAATCGATTACTTAACACTGAAATTCCACGTTAAATTTGTACCGTAATAATAATTATTATTATTATTATTATTATTATTATTATTATTATAATCATCAGCAGCAACAAGGTTTGGGCCTAGTGGCCCGTTCCGCTTTCAAGAGTCTCTTTCTCTAGTAATTATTATTATAATTATAATAGTAATAATAATTATTAATAATAATAATAATTATTATTATTATTATTATTATTATTATTATTATTATTATAAACTTCTACAGAATTAACAGTAAAAATAGCATTCAGACTTTACATACCGCTCTTCTGTTGTTCTTAATTCCTTTAATGTCGCAACAGGAACATTTTCGAGACTTTCTACTGTTGAAAATATAAGCAAAATGGTAATCAATAGCGAACTATTATGAGGTCTAAGTAAGGTTTTTTTTTTTTTAATTTTCATGTACAATGTAATCTGAAAAACAGTTGACGGAATATGTGCGTAGGAATATGTAGAACGTTTATTGCAACATTCTCTATCAGAAAACAAAAGAACACTTGGATAGAGTATCTCCACGACAGCACTGCAATTAGAACAAATCGATTCTTTAGTTACAGTGAAAATTCTGTTTGAGATGGGATTGAAATTTCTTTAACGAGGGCGATAACGAATCATAGTGATTTTGACTGTTATTTTGCTTCACAACGCAAGAGGATGCAAACTTTACCATCATTCAATCTGCAACCATCACGTAATGTATAACTGGTTCACACTTATGAAAATATTCTATGCTGTAGTGATAGACAATTTTTTTTTCATGAGCCTTTAAAAGTGTAATCACTTAAACGAGCGCAAAAGGTCAACAACGCAACAAAAACGCAAACAGACTTTCGAAGTGACATTGGGGCAAATTAATGCAAGAAACTGAGTAAAACAGAAAATTATCTGGATGTTTGTGGAACGTAATTTAAGAAAAATATAATAATTATTCTGGAAATTAATTTATTAATTACTAAGAACATAATTTTAAAAGTACATATGGCTGAACTATCACAAAATCACTAGTAGATTTTGTATATTCTTGAACTCACACCAATAAAAAAAATAGAATATTGTACACCGTTTTTAAGTACGCGTAAGTTTATAAACATTGACGAAAAAACTTAGACTGGAAAACAGAATTCCAAAAAAGCCAAACTGTAAATTTTCTATTAGTGTGGAGTGGACAAGAATGGAGTGGGCATTTTCGAGACACACCTATTAATACCAACTGTGTTTCCGGGAGCGTAATGTATACTTGTACTTACTAGTATTCTAATGCATAAGAGCGAAATTTTGTAATTTTCAAGTTTCTATCCTCGCTCTTTCATGTCTTCAACCTGTATTTGTTTAGTTAAAGATAGGGTAGGCGGGTAGGATTTCTGGGGCTCAGACAAATGTGCACAGACTATATTTTTCCCTTATACATCACATACGATTTTTACTTATTTTTGACGATAAATAAATAAATTAAAAAACATCTCCCCAACGGGCCCCCCTTCGCCGGCGGCGACAAGTGGCGTCGTACAACTTTTTTTCGCGTTCTGTAGCCGCGATGGAGCCCCCTGGCGGTGGGAGGAGTAATTAGGTTGACATGGATCGCCCGGCGCGGCGCGCGCTGGTAATCGGATGTAATGATGTAATCGATGACACGCTGGATATGATTAGTTCGCCCGGCCCACGCTGGAGGCTGCCGCTGGCCAGCGGACTGGAGCAATACATCTCCCCTTGCGCACTTCCAACGCGTTTATTCGCAGGATCAAGTGATACGTTATTAGAAAGGCTAATATAACTCGAAATTTCAAAATTTCTATTTGAAATTGATTGTTTGAAAATTTGGATAGAAATTGGACTCCGAGCGGACTTTATTATGATCCAGAATGGCTGCCAATAAATTAATAATAAGGTACGGGTGAAAGTTGGCGGGAATTCATAACAATCTGCGACAGGAAATTAATTATATATGTGTGATGCATATAAAAACTAGGAATTAATATTGTAAAATATCATGTGAAATCTATACCCAAAATGACGCTGGAATAATAAACTGGGGTCCATCGCCCAGCACTATGGATGGCCATGGAGACAAAACGAGGAAGGTTCACGTGCAGTCCTTGGTCCGTTGCTTGCGCTCTGCTCCGACATCCGCTAAAATAGATCGTAGGAATCCATTGCTACGGCCATCCTCCACAAGAACCGCAAGCATTTGGGCCAGGCTGCCCACGGAGGTCTGCTGCTTCTCCGTTCACTCTACTGAACTGACCACGCTCGAGCTCCTACCTCCCCTTTCCCCTTCCGAAGGGTTGATGTAACAAGCAGCGGGCCACACTGGTGGCCCGGAGATTAACTCGGGACCATGGCATACCCAAATGTGTCGTCCACTTGACTTGCTCTAGAATGTCTCTCTCCCGAGATCCACCTCAATTATTGTATTCTTATCCAGGTAGGGGAGTCGTCCAACTAAACTTGTCTGTGAATGACTAAAATCCGACCTCTTCGGGCGTCGAGCCTAGAACCTTCCCATCTACGAAGCTTCAGTTGCAGGTCCTCAAACTAAATGCGCCTCCGGCATATTTTATTGTGTGGCGAATATTTGCGCGTAGTCTGTAATCCAGATTTTCGGCTTATTGATGTTTGAGGACGACTATTTACTATGAACTAATTACTGTCCATTTGGTGCGAAAATACATACGATTATCGAACCTTCCACGAATCGGATTTGTTTACGATTGCACCCGAATAAATGTGTGAGCCCTGCTGTGTGAGCTGCACGCTTTCGCAGTCGCCCGTCGAGGAGAATCCGGGGGGAAAAACGCTGGCAGCGCTGTTTCATAGGTGGTACCGACCCCCACCGTCCAAACCTCATCATGTGAAATGGAGCAGACTGTAAAAGTCTGCTCTCGCGCTCTGTTGCCCTCGCCTGGTGCACAGCGATACCACGTGACCCCGACAGCGCGCGCGTAATCCGCTTATCGCGCGGCCACTGATGCCAGCGCCGGCGTTGCTTTGCATCCCGTCGGCACAGTGCACTGGGTCATCCGGGCGTCAACTTCGGTTTCTTTTGTAGCACATCACCTTTACGTGTCGGTTCTTCTTTGCGGGTAAACGGAGTTAGTTCCTCGCTAATGGAAATTGCATTAGAAGATGACTTGTGGTGTATGCTGCACGCTGTGACGTCGAAACCGTTTATTTAAAACCTGTGTCGCCAATGAGAGAATATCACTTTACGTGAGAGATGTGGTGCCACTCTGACTTGATCACGTTTTTAAAAAGGTACACGACATTCGTTATTTCCGGACATCTTATTTAAATGTTTCTTTTGGCCAGAGGTGTTTTGTGCTGCTGATTGCCATATTTTTTCACAATTATTTGTGAGAAAGATTGTCCCTGCAGAAAGCATTCAATTTTGAATTCATTACGTGTCTGTGTTAACGATAGCTTGACTAAACAGTAATACGAATGTTACTCAAATAGTTCTATCGACGGTAATAAAGGGCAGGAGATAATTAATGTCTCCGTGTGTTTTGGCGTACTCAAATATACAGTTAGTGTACAAGAGACTGCACAAGATTATTTAAATTTGTGTATGACTTTTAAATTTGTGTACCTTTAAAATAAAATATCGGTAACAATGTTCTTATTTCAAATACTTATAATAAATAATAAATTAAAATAAGAAAATTTTATTACGTATCAAAAATGTGCTTTCATTAATTAACCGCTGTGGGACGTCATTATTCGCGATGTATGATTGTGTGTGGAAGTTCTGATGAATGACATGGATTACTTCATTAATAAGTGTAATTTTGCTAAAATCAATAGTGACGAAGTTCTAACAATACAAACGCTTAATCTGCTGCTAATAATTGCTTCCATGGTGCGGAATATTGTGAAAATACTGTTTCAATGCTGCCAAAACCAGATGTTTCAAGGATCAAGAAGGTAAATATACCATAACTCCTCAACTTTTAATCGAGTGTAACCTAGGAAAATACGTCTTAGTAATTATTATAAGTGAGTATATAAGTGAATATATATAAAACAAAAATGTTATGGGCAGATGATCTTGATAGATGATCTTGAGTTATGACGTTAGATTTCTTCACTATTATTATTATTATTATTATTAATATTATTATTATTAATATTATTATTATTATTATGGAGGGTTAATGCAACAAATCTGAAGGAAGCCTTATACGCAATATCATAAAATATTCAGAAATTCCGAATTTCATTTGATACTACTAAAATATTATTAGTATCGTTTTTTGCAACCTCCGATGAACTATAAAAAGACAAAAGTAAAAAAAAAATTATTACCAACAGATATGTAAAAACAAGGTGTTTTTTTATGTAATCGACCAAAAGATTCATGTACTTCTCTTATTTGTGGACGATTTTTTCGATTCCCTCTTCGAAGAACGTCAATGATGTGAGGTGAGTCAGATCTTTGCTCTGAAGCACTCATTGGTCTAGAAGCTTTTGTCACGTAGCCAATTCAATTCGATGAAGGGAAGACCATCGTCCGGTGCTAAATCTGGGCTCTACCCCGCATGATTAACCATGTCCCACCAACAACACCCCGGAAGATATTCTGTTACAACAGCACTATTCGGGCGGACGTCGTCGTGAATGAGAACATTTTCAGAAACAGCATTTTTCGTCTTTTTCGTGAATTGCACACTCGTCTCTTTCTGTGGTCAAATTTTGCCGCTATGTTCTCTTGTTAAGAAAGCTAATAACACGTATCATCCCCAAAGCCTTCTACTTCTCTGGAGATTTAAGGGCTCGATCGGAGGTAGAAAACGCTTTCTACATAAATTAAATCTGCTTTCATTTTATTACATAGGCGACCTGACGTTGTTTTCCTTCTAATTATTTCTGTTAAAAGCAGAAAGCAATCAAAATAGCTACTAAATTTAGCTGAAAATTATATAAAGTTTCCATTCGTGTTTTGGTAACAGGATATTAGGAGCTGCCTGCTATAAGCAGCTATTAACTCGTGATAGACAATACTCCTGAAACGAAAGTGTTTCTTCAGCTTTGACGTGCCTCCTAGTGTGAAAAGTATTTTAAAAATTATAGATGAACAAATGATAGCTAATTTCATTTCGAATTTCAAGCATTTATCCAAACATAAACGCAATTTGTAGGACTGGCCAAGCCCAGTATTCTGTGTTTCGTTTACCTCATTCAAAATGTAAAAAAAAAAAAAGTTTAGACATCTGCAGTCCATATCATTCATTTGCATGAGTTCGTACTTTTAAAGGAATGAACTCGTACTTTCAAAGGCCCATCTTATAATAATGATTTTCACTCCTGTGAAAATATATTTTCTCTGGAACTCCGTGAACATTGTCTTACATCACATTAAATGATGCATTTCAACAGCCAGTTTTGAGTTTCAGCAGCTGTTGGTTGCACTATATCGTGGTTACTGAGAAATTCACGGAAATCCTCAGCGCAGTGGGTGTGCGACGCAGCGATTGCATTATTACTGCATCGTGTTTCGCCGAAGCCCACTAGTCCCAAGCGAGCCTCTCCTCGTCGAGTTCT